CCCCCTTTTCTCCTTCCTGCTTTGGTGAGGCTGCATGTTGCCCTTGCACTCCAGAAATTGTGACCAGGGCAAAGGAAGTGCTGAGCCTTCAACAGGGAGTTACAAGGATTTCAGGTGGCAGTTTTAGGTTTCTGCAGGCAAGAGATGCCGAAAGAGCACCGGGGAGCAAGGAGAAGAACCACCGCCCTAACATACCTACACCCTATGCATCTTACCCTTTTCCATAGCTGGTCTGAGCTATATTGCATGGACCTTTTGTGGAGCCTCAACAGTCCCGTGAGACAGAGCCGATGGTCTACCTATTTCAGTTTTGGAGAGGTGGAATATGGAGGAAAACAGTCTTTAGCTTCTTTAGTGCAAATACTTCAATTTCTCCACCTACTCTTTTTCCTTTGTTTTCGTTTTCCTTTTTTTTTTTCTTTTTTTTGTCAGAAGTCCTACAGTGTCACGGGGTCAGTTTTCTTCACATTTCAAACTTGCAAACTGCCTAGCGCTAATGCTTTTCACAAGTAATATAGCCCCCTCCCCCCAGCAAGAAATGACCTGCTGCCTTGTGAGTCTGCAATCTAATTTGTATGGTTCTAGCTAGCTAAAGCAATTATGATACTCAATCAGATATGTTATTATTTCATTAATTCTGTGGAGTTATCATTAAGATTCCCACCATATTTGCTTATGACTGCCCTAAAGGGAAATAAATGATAGAGTTTAAAAGGTTGGTAACACTGTGAGGTTAAGTGGGTGCACAGCTGGCTCCCGTGCTCACCATGCTACCCCCGGACTTTCCTGATGACAAAATTACTGCGTGTTTTCTTTTCTCTCCCATCTTCAGCAGCAGCATTATGCGGCTTAGTCCAGACATCCTTGTAACGTGCTTGGAGGAGTTATGAAGCGAAGTATCACTCGTGCTCTAGGGTAAGTCAGAAGATTTTTTCCTTTTCCTGTTGCTTGGTATGTTTTTTATTGCTACAAGGTTACAGCTTAACTGTTAAAACAACATTGAGGGCTTGAAAAATTATCTAGCTATGCATGCAAACAAATTCAAGGTAACAATATTTGTGAGTGTCTAAGTGTTGCATATGAGGGAACCCTAGCTTGTCCATAGCTTGCACAAGATTATTCTATAATTAAATTGAAATGAGGAATGGGATTGTACATACCAATCATCTAGAGACTATTCGAACAGGAAAGTTTTGTTAGTAGGAGTCAGATTCAGTCCTGGTTGAGAATACAAATGGTAGAATTCAAATAGTGCCAGAGGTCCCGCATGATCTTTCTAATCAAGAAGAGCTGCCACCTGCCAATACCATCTTGTGTACAGATGGACATAAGACAGGCAGACAGTGATCGCAGCATCACACACCTACAGAGCTTTTATGCATCATGCTGCAGTGACACTTGCAAAAAACATCTTGCTTCACGGGAGGAATCACAGCCCTGGTGCAGCTGAGGTAAGGAAGCGTCTTAGCCATCCTCTCTTCCAGGAGACCTTCAGCACTGGCATCATTGTACATCCTTCACCATGCTCTTTATTTGCCTTCCTCCACAAACTGAGGTACAACATCTGCAAGTGCAGTTCATAAGCCAGTGGAGAGAGAAAATACTAAGCCAAATTTATTGCTTGCTCCACCAAAACTTAGGTGAAGGATGCTTTGGTCCTGTTTGCATGCTGCCTGAAGATACTGTCACAATCACAAATCTTGACGTATAAACTCTTAAACACTTGATAGTGTGGAAGTGGTGTACAAATCCCATGCGGGGTCTCGAGAAAGGGGCAAATTTCAACCACTAAAATTCATGGCCCAGCAAGCTGTGGAGGATCTTGTCAGTTTCTATGTTACGTACTTCTATCCCCCAGTCATTTTATTACTCTGAACATCTGTGGAAACGTGGAGGTGCAGGGAGCCTCGAGGCTGCTCAGCGTGTTTGACTTCATTTTCTCCTTAAACATGTGCAAATGCTACTTTTATTTGCACCTTCCCAGAGCTGTGATTTGCAACACCAAAGCCTAAATGACACCTAAGATCCCTCCAGAGCATTAAACAAACAAGCCAGTAGGACATCTCACAGTCTGGGAAGTGCTAGATTGAAAGCAGTAGTACAAACTGCACTGCTTTGAAAATGAACCAGTTGAATTTCTTTGCAGTGATCCAAACCTGAGAGGTCTTTTCTCATGGCTTTTTCTGCATGAATCCAGGATCTGCGCACTCCCCAGAAAACTGAACCAGGATTCTGATTCAAGGTTTATAATGTAGAAAATCTTGTGTTTCTAATCTCATTTTTCTTTTTAATTAGATTTATGTGAAGCAAAAATGAAAGGAACAGGACAGCCAGGAGACTATCCACAGTAATAGTTTGACAGAGCGGGTATTTTAACATTTTATACACTGTCAGTAAGCTTCTGGTTTGATACTGACAGTAGATACAAGCCTCATAAAATTAGTCAGAGTCAAGTTAGTAGCAAGTTAAAAGCTAGAAAGTTGCTAGGACTATACGTGGTAGTTTGGGCTTGAGGATTAATATTGGCTGAAGGACTGTGTTAAAATAACTGGCTATAAGGAAAATACCTTCTAGTGGTATCTCCTGGGCTGTCTGCAAGTTCTTAAGTTTCTTCTCAAAAATAAGCCCTCTCCTCTTCCTTTTAAATCACTTTGCAAGGAACAGCCTTATCCCATGTGATTGCCGAAAGAAGTGTAGTAAGTTTTGCAATCACGGAATAGCAAAATACATAGTGCCTCTCTTTGAAACATCCTTTAAAAGTGCCTGCTTTTCTGGCCAATCATCTCATTGCAAATGAAACTGCTGTGATCAGAACCTTCTGTAATGCCATGTTGTGTTCATTTGTTTCTGAGATACAGCATGCATTTCAGGAAAAAGGCCACAATTATTAAAAACAAAATCCATCAGGCTGTTCTCCATCAGTCTTTTCCTTCTGCTGAATCATTACCTAAAGAATTTCGGAAAGATTTCTTCAACTGGGAAAAAAAGTATTATTTTCTTTGTATGTTGAGAAAATGACCAAGACTAGTCTTAAAAGGAAATGGGTGCAAAAGATGACAAAACATGACCTCAAATATTTCAATTCCTTGTTCCTCACTGCTTGTGGTTCTCATTCTTTGAATTGTGTGCTAAAGAACCTGATTCTGCTTGATAATATCAGTGATAATATCAAAATAAAGCAAGAAAGTAGTATAAGACTACAATAAAGAGCATTCCCTCTCATGGTGTTTACATGAAATTTATGCAGAATTTAACCCTAATTGTTTATTTAAGAGAATGATCAATCCTTTAAAAATTGGGACACATGCTAAGGTGGAAGAGACCATTAAATGATAAGGCAGCTATCTAAGAGATTTTCTAGGTATATTTTATACTCAGAAAGGCAGGCAAACAATTTTTTATGGTTACATTGTGAGATCAGATCAGTCAGAAATGCTGACTTTGAATTTCTTCAGAAAAACAATAAACCTTCCTGTTCACTGCTTTGACTGTCCTTGTAAAACTGGATAATTGTCTCTGCAAATTGAAGCCATAAATCACTAATTTCACATGGTGGGAGAGGGTTGAATATACTAATTAGTCAAACAGTTGCATTCAAAGTTCAAGCAAGCCAGGCAAATACCATCCATGTATTTATACGTTCTTCTCTCTGGAGCATCTAGACCATTGCCACAGCTTACTGAGAAATATCAAGGCAGGTCCAGTCCCAGTTCTACCTGTGTTGCCTGTGCAGACTGAAAGTGCTCTGAAGGACAGGCTCCATCCCTCCGGATGAATGCACAGCTGAGTGGGAAGGGGTCCTGACCTAGGCTGTGGCAATGAGACACAGAATAGTAAAGCAGCATTGCAGGACAGCGATCTCTTCCACTTAAAACCTTGAGGATGAGACTGAATCATCTCCTTACATTGCGTAAGAGTGCCTTAAAGTCCATTTTTGCTTGGGGAGGTCCTTTTATTTCCTTTTTACTGGTGGAGAGCTCCTGTGGGTCAGACTTGGCTGAATTCGGCTCAGGTGTTGTCCTGGTAGAAAACTGTGTTGGGGGTGCCCCCGACTGCAGGGCAGAGAGTGGGCCTGCTGCTGTGGTGTTTTTGCTAGGAGCTCTTTCGAGCACCATTTTTGAGCACCCACTTTGAGGATGCGCAGTGTCAGCAGCATCTGGAAATGCTCATTTATTCTGGGCTTTTCTTTCTCCCTTCCAATCAGAGAGTCCGAGCTCAGAAAACAGATGGGATTGTTCTACTAGTAATTGGTCCAGCTGCTGCAGAGAAAATAGAAGGAAAAGCATATTGCAGCAATAAAAATATAATAAAAGGAATCAAGCAGGATACACAAGAGTATATGAAGCATGCCTGCTTCTTCTGCTTGGTCCGAAGAAGACATGCAATATCTGGCAAAGGAGATGTTGCCATAAAAAGGAGGAGAAAGGCCTAAAGGACATTTTATTCCAACAGATAGATCCAATTGCCTAATGGAAAAATCTCCAAATGGACTTCAATCTGTGACCATTGCAGTCTTGACCCTCTAACCCAAGATTGTCAGGGAAGAATCAAAGACAAGTAACCGATCCCCTGATCATATTTTCTTTACCTTTCCTTATCAAATGGAGAGCTGTTCCAGAAAAGAACCAGACCAGTAACCATTTATCAGTAATTCTGTAGGCTGACTGCCTGTCACTTTATTTTGGAAATCACGGGACCTTTATAGAGCAGAGTACAGTCATTTCTGTGTTGAAATATTGTATATGAAGTACTGGCACTTTTCCTGGGTGGTTGAGCTCAAGCAATATAGTCAAAGAGAAAGAGAGTCAAAGATGTAAACTGTAATTAGTCTGTTGTTGGAAATCCTCCTATTCTTGGCACTGAAAGGTTTATCCAGATGTACCTCAGAGTTAACACTTTGGACACTGAATAGCAGGACAGATTTTAAACTCTCCCCACATGACCCAGAGCAGTGGCTTGTGCAACGTACCGTAAGGATGCCTCCCTGACCTGGCAAGCTTGATCATTCAGCCGAAATTCCAGCTCTGCAACCTCCTGACGAACGGCTCGCCGTAAGAGTTGCAGGTGTCTGCCTTCCTCCCTGTAGGGACAGCAGTGAAAGCACACTCGAGTGAGCAGTGAACACCCTCCTCTTCCTCAGCCCCACCATAACACCTGTATCTCCCTCTGTTGCAGTCTTGTTTTCACCCATGATCACAGGATACCTTACAAAATAATAAATAACAGCCCTTGTCTGCTTGACTCTCATTTCTTTGATTATCCCAGCTGCAAGATTAAACACGTTGTAGTTGCAGAGCCAGCTTGAGTCTGGGCAGGTTTATCACTTCTGATTTATCGCCAACACAAAGACTGCATAAATGCCCTACTTTCAGGCAGCTCAAGACTGGAAGCCCCTAGTAACTTTTTGTGAACCTGAGGCTTCTCAGTAATCCCTGTGAACTTGGGCTGAGTCCATGAAGAACTAGTTCAATTTTTCCTGTATCATCACCCCATTGATCACGAGCACTAAGTACATGGCCTAAAGGGGCTGATTTCTCAGGGATTGCTCCCACCTCCTTCCCTGAACCCAGCATTAACCTGGGACACCAAACTCCAGCTGACCGAGATCTGTTCCTGTGTTCCCATTGCTAGTAAAACATAGTAGTTGCACACTAAAAATCTAGCCTGCATCTATGGAGCAAGCTTCCCCTTCAAAATGCTCGTGTTTAAGAGACTTGAACAGTGTGGAGAGAAGCTGGACTTTCCTCTGAGCAAAAATCACATCACAATACATTTCTTCTCCACTTGCGGGATGCCCACAGCTGCACCTCACTGACCAGAAGTGCTGTGGTAACACAAGTGACCAGACATGTTGTATGTTCCCATGGGCTGTTGTTGATGCTAGCTTTGGATTTAGGTAAGTGTGTTGGGTTGCCATTACCTTCCTTCATCTGGCATCGTGCTGGAAAACAGCACCTGCTGTTCAGTCAGGTGCTGTTCAATCTCATCCAGCTTCTCCTGGAAGTGCTGGCAGCAGCTCTTCATCGCTTCTATTTCATGGAGGGTACACTACACAGAAAAGCAAGAAGACACCCCACTTTACTACTTTTCTTTGAGCATTTCCATGTCGAGTGTGTTTGAAGCTGACAGCCCGAATGGCATGGGTCCTCCTCTTACCCGCATAACAGGGACTCTGTGAGCAGCTGCCATGAAAGTCCAGATGTCACTTCAAGTGAGTTTGCTCTGGGTGCATCACTCGCATCCCAGTCACCACCTTTTCTCCTAAAGCATGTAGGATTGAGTGCTGGCACTACTTGAGCCACTGAGAATTTCATTTTTGCTATTGAAGAGGAAAAGGACTTTGATCAAAGATCTGACACAGTGTGCCAAATTCTGATGTTATTGCACTGTTGTCAGACATTATATTTGAGAAGGATGAGTTGCTATGGGTTAATGATAGGTTAAGTTACTGTCCGCTGCAAGTTAGAAACTGTTTTGAAAAGGAGAAAGAGGGAGAGAGGGAGAGAGGGAAGATATATAAGAACTATGAGAAGGAAAAGTGTCTCTCCTGATGGTTTCTGCTAAGTGTTACACTGATAATTTCTCATCTATTACCAGTTGGAAACCTAGAATTGGATTTATCTAACCAAATGCAGACATTTACTGCAACAGATGTACATGCAAGTACTGCAACAGAGCAAATGTTCTGATCCAAAAGTAGACATCCATAGTAGGTCAGAGGATCTATGCCATAACTGTGACCATTACTCTTCACTAAGAGAAGATATCTACTATGACTGATCATCTACATCTACCCTGATGTAGGCATCTACACCAGGAATGTCTCAAGGCAGGGGAGATGAATGAGCAGGAATGGTACATCAAAAATTATAAGAAGATTTGCAAGTTACTACTTTGTAGCACAGGACTAATACAATGGCAGCCCACTAGTGACATTGATATGTCTAAGTTTCTAGCCAGATTAAAGACTTTTCCTTGACTTTTCACACCTTGTTCAGGGCAGTAATGCAGACAGCATCATCCAAATGATTTTGGAGACAATACCGTCTGCCTTGTGAAAGCATGCTCCCCTATTACACTGAAACTGCTCTGAGTGCAAGAAGGTGTTTGGCATGTTCCCATCTTGGCAGATTTTGGCCTCTTGTAAGCCACAGGAAGACAGTGTAGAAACCTGCACTCCACTGCTGACCACTGTAACTGATAGGGAATAAGAGGCATGTTTGCAAAGCATAGAAATGCCCGATCTCTTTGGATTCCTGCAATCATGTCCTTTGATGATCTCTTCATGTTTGTATGCTTGAATGTGTCCCTCAGTCCCAGCAAGGCCAGAAACATGAGGAAGCCCTCCCTGCTGGCGGATCAGCCTCAGCTAGAGGGCAAAAGGTGCTCCCCATGCATTTGAGAAACCTCATTCTTAATCTCCATTTCAATGCAGCTGCTATGTCAGGCACACTCCTGATGTGCGTGACCCAAGGAGAAACTATCCCATAGCAGTAAATTAAAAATATCTAGCCCCAGCTACCATAGGATTGCACCAGAAAGGGCTAATTAGAGACTAATAGTGGTTTGATAGGACCAGTCCTGTGACTGCAGTGGAGGTGAGCTCTCCTAAGTGTCCATGCGGAGCTCAGGTGGTGCTCTTAATGCTGTGGGTCAGGGCAGCAATTGCACCTCACTGACGCAGTCAGATGTGTTATGAGCACCTTCAGATTAAGTGTTGGCTGGTTCCTCATTTGCCCCCCACCCCAAACTTTAATCTTGATCTTCAGACAGTTTTCTTGTTCCTAGATGGGAGTGTGTGTGGTGCAAGTGAGCAGTGCCCACATAATCATGATTTCTTCTACCCACTGCCAAGTCTGAGCAGAGCAAGGACTTCTAGCCATCAAAAAAGAGTGCCCAAATAAGCTTGAAGAACTCCCGTCATTCAGGTCACTAGGGAGAAGTCAATGGGCCACAGTCAAATTTCTAGTTTGTTCCTCAAGGCTAACAAAAATCTAGAAAGCACCATGCAAAAGATACAAGAGGCACAATGTGGGTAGGTTTGGTAAGAAGTCGTGACAGCCCTTATAGATGAGGTATGGGCAGCTCCCCTGGCACTGACTCTTTGAGCATATCACAGAGCACAAGTTCACATAGATTTATTCAGAGTTCAGGCACAGCAAGGATGGAGGGGGGACTAACTGTTCCAAGACTACTCTCACGCAAGACCTTTTTTAAGGTAAGGTGCATGTAAACAGGGTAAATTTACTGTCTAACAGTTGCTCCGTGGTGGTTGCATTCCCCATGCATGCCCGTGGTAAATGGGACATAATCTGAGTGAGCTTCTCTCAGTAAAAGATGTAGAAACTACCTTACCTTTAATGCAAAGTACAAAGTAGACATGGTTGTAATCTCTGCAGAATGGCTAGTAGTCAGTAAATTCACCCATTTATTACACAGTAACTTGGGTGTGGAGCCATATCCCTAAGAACAGATCTTGGATAACAGTACAGTGCAAAGTCTGTTCCTCCCACATTCCCTGTCCACAGACTAGAGAAGACAAATCACCATTAGCCCCCGTTAGCAGAGTGATAAAATAGTAGTCAATCAGTGAGAAAAGGCTTCCCAGTCCAGCATAAGGTACTGATTCACTGCCATCTTGCGGCAACAGCAAGATAGCTGACAAAAGGCATATTTTCCAATATACTGTTCAAAGACAAGACATTGCAGATTTATATATTCAATGATGTGGCAGCATAAAACTCACCAGTTTCACTTTCTGGAACTTTTATCTAATAATTTTCTTCCCCAATTTGTACAACACTTTAAGTTTCATTTCGTTATGAAGAGCAAAGAGAAGAGGAAAAAATGGAAACGCCTGCAAACCAGCAGCAGGTATGCTGCTCCTTCCACATTTTTTTCAGGACGCAAAAGCCACTCCTGACTTCCTTCCTTGCTTTCTTCCCCAACACACCCTGAGTCTTTCACAACTTTTGGGAACTCTCGGCAATTCTGAACAAAGAAATAAAAATCTGGTGACTTTTTACTATCAGTATTTTTATTGCAAATATTCATCTTAGTGGGACTTTAAATTTAATGCAATATTTTTATTCTATCGTGGTAAAATGGCTTTGAGGCTCTGGGAAGTCGCAATTCACTTTGATTTAGAGCAGTTTGGCTTATGGTATGTATCTGGGTTATGTATGTTCACAGTTAGTGTTTAAAAAACACTAAGTAATATAACCTAAATGAGTTTTCAGTAAAAGGGGATTACACTAAATCATATAACCTTGCATTTTCTGCAGTCCAGCAACTCAGCTACTGTAACTCAGCTGATTCACAGGAACTCATTGAAACTCATTCTCATCTCTCAGCTCTTCATTTGACCCATAAACTTTATCACCCAGTTTGCAGTAACCATTTTAAGACTGAACTGATGTACATAAGTTACTAAAAAAAGCAGCCCAACAAAACTGAAGGTACACAGATATGTTTGCCAGTTTTGCCCAGAAAGGAGTGTTTCTTTCCCCATCCATTTTCTCAGTTACATTCCCAAGATACGTCTCACTAAAGAAGCAAACATGGCAGGAGAGAAAAGGAAAAGGCAGCTTGTGCATTTAGCTCATAAGTGTGTCAGCTGTCCATGTATACAAAGAAACCTACTCACCGGAGCAAGATTATGCATTGCAGTGTCCTGTAGGAGCATCAGCGTTTTCAAGAGCTGCAGCTCGGTGGAGACATGGTTTGAGCAGCAGCGCACAGGGCGATGGGGAGAGACACCCACGAGGAAGGTCCACAGGCAGCAGCCATGGCAGCAGCAGCAGTGACAATGGCAACTGCCCTGCACACCCCCAGCACCAGAGGCTTCACTGTATTTGTCACAAAGCATGGTGTCAAGAGAGGCTGATTTTGTCAGGTGACTATGGGGTGGATGAAGCAGTGGTGGCCACCTGGGTTTGCTGGCATGGATGTCAGTTTGGCTGGAGGCTTCAGTGGTCTGCTTCACACCATCCTTCGAAGCCCCTGGGTCTGACAGTATGAGAGGACCACTCTCAGAGTGGTGCACTAACATGCCAGAGAAGTCCACAAGATCTTCCCTAGCAAGGCTCTCACTGACAGGAGCATTTTGCCCTGTGCACTTCACCCTTGAAGTAGACTCCAGCCCTGAAGACATCTGAACAGTAACAGATTTCAGAGGAGCAGAAGCCATTTCACCGTTTTGGACAGTGTCTCCCTGTTCTGATTTGTTGGCACCTAACATCTCCCCTACACTACCAGCCTCTTGGCCTTCAGACAAACTTAATCCAGGCCCTTCCACTAGGCAGGAGGGATGCCTCTGAGATATTTGCAGAGAACACCTTGAAGCGGCACTGCTCCGACTTTGCACTGCTGAGCCCCACTGTGGAGTTTCTGGGAACCCTGTTTTGGGGAAGCATCTTGTATTTTTTGAATCATCATCCATTTTGCAGAACTTCTGCCCATTTGTCACCTCATTCACTGCAAGCAGGGTACCATCTTTGCTGACCATTTCCACTCCGCACCATGGTCCTTTAACACGTCCTGTATGACCTCGATGGGCACTTTCATGACATGCAACTCCAATGTCCTTTTCAGTCAGGCACATCTCACCTTCATCCTTGCCTCTGATTTTGCTCTCGCTGATGACTGCAGGGTTTATATCACTCAGTTCAATGAAGGTTACATTCACCTTTTTGTGTTCTGTACTAAAATACAAATGACAGTCAAATTTTGAGGAGCTAGGATCTCCTTTTTCCTGAGTACCACCCTGAAAACAAGGACTACGCTCTTCTCTGCACTCCTCTTTTTCCAGTTGCTTTCTTCCAGTTTTATCCTCTTTCTCGTCCACGTCACATAACATTTCTTGTACAAAAGTCTGTGGCTCAGCATTATAGGCCTGATACTTGCCATTTTCTGCAGTCAGCAGCAGATGAGTCTCTTCTCCCTGGTCACTGCATGCTTTCGTTGATCTAGGTACTGCCAAAATGCTCTCGCAAGCTGTATGCGATGCACCGTGTATCATCTTTGTTGTTTTTTGGTCTGAGGACAGGAAATTACAGTAACAAGCAGAGATGATGTAGGGTTGCATGGCAAGACATAAAAGCAAGAGGAAGACATTCTAGATTTACTCCAGAGAAGGTTTCTGATCTAGCAGCCACATCATCTGGCTAAATCAATGCTTACCCTACCTTTTGCAATTAAATAAATTATACACCATTAACTAGCTGATTTCATGAATAAAACTCAACCCTCTTTAAAAGTACAAATGCTTGAAAGTAAACCCTCAGTTATCCTGTACATCCTGATACCTCTCAGTCCTTGGATAACTTGCACTTTCAGATAACCTTCATCCTCAGATAACGCCCTCATTCTCAGATAGCTGGCACAAAACCAGAGGTAGAGTTGGAGGAGCAGGCTGAGGGAGTCTGCTGGGGAAGGGAAGGGATGGAGGCTGAGACACTCTGGATATACTGCCTCTCTTGTTCCTTGCATACATAACCGCTACTGAATCCTAGGGCTTTTTATCTTCTGGGTATATCCATGAAAATATGCCAATTCACCTAGCAGTTCTGAGACCCAAGTTATTAATTCTCATTTGTGTGAATTGGAAAATGCAAAAAGAAAAGTCTACAAATTATGTTTTCACACATTAACAGACTATAGGCTTTATTAAGTGTAACTTGGGCATCAATTAATGAAAATCACACGGTCTATTTGTAGGCAGCAACCGTAAAAACAAAACCAGATATCATTTTATGGTTTTTAAATTAATTACTTGCATTGTCAGTCCTGGTATCAGCACATCAATCAGTCAGTCAGTCACTTTCTTATTTCGGATGAGAAATATGTGGTTCCCATCTCACACATTACAAAATCTGCAGCGATGTTGCTGAAAATTGCCTGTTTTGTGGGTGGTCTCAAAACTCATCCTTGCAGTTTCCCACAAACGACATCACAGTTCAGCTTCTCCCCCAGGGAGACTGCTCTACAGATTCTCTAAACTTTTTTTAAAGCTGTTTCAATTACCCTTTGCATCTTTGCCAGCTGTTGCTTCCAGTGTGTCAGTCTGGTCTATATTTTTCCATACATAAAAATGAAGAAAGAAAGGCTCAGGAAAAATTTTGAAAAGCTGAAATGTTTCAGCTGCTGTAGTTCCAACCAATTTGAGACTCAAATTATTTGAATCTCAAATACTCAATTGTATCCTACAATCATAACAACTGACCTCCAGGCTTTAAAGTTTGCAGAGTTAGAAGACCACATTATCTGCTTACCTAGAGTTTTAAGGTGCCTGTTTTTCTCCTGAGACCTGCAGGATACCAAAGTAGCTGGCATGCTGCTAGAAATATTGCGTAGGGAAAAACCCTGTAACTTTTAATGGAAGAGTAAGTGCGGTTAGAATTCATCTTCTGACCTGGTCAAAACCAGGTGGCTGTAGCCAGGTTTGATGCATTTATTAGGATAATTGCAATGCATCTGTTCCAACAACACAACACTTTTGTTTGTGTATTGCAACCACGCAGCCTTCCCACCCACATTTACATTCATGCACTAGCTAGGGAACTACCCAAAACATGTGACAGTGGCCTCCGGGCTGATCTTTAGGCACAAGGTGAGACATTAAAGACTGAATGAAATGTCTGCAGACCAAGTTAATATCACTGCAGTTAGGGTACAGAAAGACCTCCGTGTGTCTCCCTGGACTTGCCCTGGAAGGAGGTGTGATGTGTGCTCTGCCATTATGGCTCCCACTGATTAGATATGCAAGGTGTGTACATAAATCAAGGCTCAAACCACTCTGAAAGGCTGTCTGTGTATGTATTTACAATGGTAATATAATAGGACCTAATGACCATTCTGGGCATAAATCCAGTTTCTACAATTTGTATGTTAGCAAAATAGAAACTTATAAAAGAGAAGAAAAGTATAGTAGAAGGAGAACCATGTTAAGCACAGTTTACCTATGCTTGTTACTGTGATTTCCTGTCCTCAGACCAAGTAATCACCTTCATGTGAGTTAGGCATCTAATTTGCACCTACCTACATATTAGATGTGTAATGAACTAATACCCCTAGAGTAAAGGCTTGAATTCCCCATATAGCCAGCACAAAGTGATGTCTCTGAGGGTCTGAGCTGCAGTTCTTTTCCAACTACATTCAGATGCCTAATTTAATCATTACATCCCACACTGACTTGCAAGATCCTACCCAGTGTGCCAGACCCTGATGAAGGTAGGCAGGTGAAGATAAGGAGTTTTTAAAAGATGAGATGTTTTTCTGACTCTGTAACACTTTATTCAAATCCAGTCAAAATTCCCTCAATTTCAGTGGAAGTCTGAATTAAAAAAAAAATACTTAGTAAAAATGAATATGGACCTCCAATTCAAGGTGAGGTAAAAAAGCTATGAAGAGATTGTCAAAGTGCTCCCACAAGGACTTCATTGTGAACAACAATCTCCTGGGAGAAATGAGGAGCAGGCCTGCGTTGGGAAAGCAGGTTGCACTGAAGGCTGTGGCTGTGCCGAAACTAGATTAAACGTGATAGCCTTTTCAATTTGAGGCAACTCAGTTTCAATCTATGTAAATATAGTTTGGTTTAATGTCTGCATACCAGAGCTAAGTAATGTTTGCATAATGGAGGGCAGCATTTGCATACTGGGGAAACTGTGTTTTGGGTGAGGAGTGGGCCGATCTATCACTTCATTTCCTCTTAGTGTCCCAAATAGGGATTAAATGAGACTGCAAATCAGACCATGCCTGATGCTGTCCTGAGAAGGAACAGAGTTTCCCTCTTTGTGAAACTTTCAGTAATGTTAATAGCTTGCCAATGGTAACAGTACAGTTTTTCTTGGCAGGCTCTAATACCCAGCGAGGATATCCATAGCCCGAGCTTCTACTAGGAGATTGACTCTTCGCAGGGCTCCAAAGCAGGTCTTTGCTACGTCTCCTAGGACAAATTCCTCTATCTACCAAGTTTCTGAAAATGTCCAGGCTGGATGCTGGTGGTGGTTTGTCTCAGAACAGACTAGCATCTAAAGCCCTTTCAGCAGTGGCCAAGGTCACCTTAGGGACACCACTTCTTCACAGCAACAATTCCTTATGTTTAAATAAACTAGTCTTTTAGCAACTGGAAGCTTGTCTTTAGGAGGGATATCAGTTTGCCAAAATTTACATAGTTTATTTTGTCATTTTTAAAATGCTCTTGCCTTTCTCTTTCAAATGTGCTTTTTTTTCTTTTCTGAAAGGAACTGCATTTTTTAATTTGAAGAAGAAAGGTGCAAAAAAATGGGTTAAATCACCTGAACATTAAGCAAAACATGTTTTCCTTTCTAGTCTACCCAAACTGCATTTTTCCCCGATCATTTGGTTCAGCCACTGAACCAAAATATCCATTATTCATGTAGCTGTACTCAGTTCTCCTAGTGTGTGGAGACATCCAAACCTGTAGGGATTCTGCAAATACATGCAGAGCATCACACCAAGGAAAGATAAAGTATGTTTGGAGAAGAAGTAGAGACGCAGACCAGTATTCAACTATGAACTAAAAATTACAACTCTGGGCCCTGTGCAGAGAATACATCTGGCTATGCTGGAAAGAGGAAACCTGAGAATCGCCCCTGAAGACCTTGGTGAGGAAAACCTTGGCTCTTCGCCTTTCTGTGCTAATTGAACTGGGAGAGTTTAGCTCCTGCATCCCATTTCTGTTCTGCCTGAATTTTAAATAAAAATAGGTTAAAGGAACTTACTAATCAGGTTTCTGCTTCATTTTGTATCGTATAAGAAAGTACATGCCTTCCAAATCCCAAAGGTCCCATAGCTTTCCAGCCCTTTACTTGATCAATCCGATTTCATTAAGAGACTTTTTCTCTCCCCTTATTTGCATGCAGATACAGTGGCTTCCATTTTCAGCAACCGTCAGTGCAGGAACTTTCTGAAACTATCTGGCTTCTAAGTTCACCATTAATGAAAGAATATTTCCTAATTAGTAAAAAAATAAGTGCTGGAGTACAGTTCTGCATTCCCCTGAAGACTCTGCAGCTGGTTTTCTGTGGACTTGGCGGCAAATAACACAACCTCTTTCTAGTTTCCAGCCTGGAGAATACTTGCAAACTGCAAAAGATGCCATGAGAGCTACTGCACTGCTTGTAAATAATTGCACATTTTTTGCATGCCTTTTGAATCACATTAACATTGATGAATGTACTTCAATGTTTGTTTTTCTACATCATTTGAGTACGTGTGGAAGCATAGCACAAAAACTTCAAATGCAAGAACATTTGTGCAAATTTGAATTTTAAATTCAAAATTAAAATCTGGACTGCTCATCCTGTCATAGGAAAAATCAGAATAGCCAATTGCAACCTAGCAATGCTGTTCAAATTTTAGATGTTTTTGTAGCTATTTAAATGTTGCTGGACATTGATGTGGATAAGTATTTCTAAAACTATCTGCTACATACATGGGACTAAATAATGCACAGAAACCACGATTTAGTCAGATACTTTGTAAAAGAAAAAGAAGCCTGAAGGACTTAGAATAAGACTTTTCCACTTCACTGTATAAGCAAAGGCATTTTGCAGTCTCTCACACAAAATTCTCAAGACATTAACTTCGTTACAGCTTAAACACTCAGGCTAAATTCAGCAGGGAAACTAAATTCAGGCTTAAGTCTATGCATAATATTCCCACACCCAGGGTTAAAAGGACAAACAAATATCTCACTGATTGGGCCTTAAGAAGCACGTCCATTCAACAATAGTTGAATTCAACAGTAGTCAAATGCAGTAAGAGATGGGGTAAATGAAGGTGACACCATGTCCACAGAAGTGCCAGAACTGAATAGATATTGTATTACATTCTGGATTTTTTGTGTTTTGCTTCTCAAACACAGGCATCAAATACTCAAAAGTGCTCGGTCCATCAAAGCTGCTCAGCCCTAGGGTTCTAGCGGCAGCATGTGGAAGATGTGAAGGCTCTGATTCTTCAAAACCTTGCAACGCACAAGGCAAAATAATCACAAATTTCTGTCCTACATGCCA